ACATAGGATCATCAGAACATCACTTGTTTGGAATTCTGCAAAATTCTTTGAGTGGAAAATCGTTCGATTCGCTGGAGGACTGCAAAAAGTACCTGAAAGGGTTTTTATTTTAAGTCTGGAACCTTCTATGGAAGAGGGGAGCTGGAACCTACAGGAAGATGGCGAATCCTTACTGAACAGATTAGAGGATATATTGTTCGATCAATGGATTTCTTCTTCTAGGAATTTACATTCAAAGATGAATCAAAAATCGGCGGGAACTTTTCGGACAACCCAATAATATACTGCCTGACTATCATATCAAGTCTTTCCCGTTCGCAGTCAAAAAGGACCTTAGGTCGCCATCATTCTTGGTGAACTGCAGAGAATATTGTAAAACAAAACCATCACTCTCTGGCGAGAGTTGACGTCTTACTTTCGCTGCATCTATACCTGTCGCTCATGAAGCATTTTTGAGTTTTCTATTTACGCATGTCAAGTTTACACAAGCGGTTTAGGTTGTATCGGGATCCCTCCCGAGCGCTGCTCAACCACGAGTGACTTGGAGAGCCTTGTTGTAAATCCAGAGCATGTTTTTCATGCTATAAATTCGCCGCTTTTTAGACTGATCAAAGATCCGACATCAATGTTCATCTTCGCTTGTTTTCGTATTTGACTTCAAGGTCCTTTGCAGTCGCTTCGATAAGATGGGACCGGAGTCAGATTGTGTGAAAATCCTACTCAAGATTACACGCAATTCACTTCGACTGTTTTAGTGGTACACAAAGCCTAAAGATGGCCACTGACGGGGTTTGAAATTATACCAATAAATTTAGTAATTAATGGTCATACAAGACTTCATAAATTTCGTAATTAAGGGTCATAGAAGATTTCTACCAGCTAAGTGTCTCGAGGGACATAAGAAGCTCGTTCGGTTGATAGGGCGGAGGATCTTGCGGCGGCGCTGCCTGTGACCACCGCTTCTAGGCCAATTTTAGATTTTGTATTCAAAGTCAGCGTGAGAGAGAAATAAGGTCTGCAAGTAGGCGGATGCTTGTGAATAGATTCGCCATGTGACGAAATTCTCTAGATGTATTGTATTCCTTTCGATTGTTGGCTGCATTTAGTCTTCACATTCGTCAATACGGGCGAGAATGCAACGCATCAGTTCACATGGCCGGTTGCCCGCTCTCACAGTTTGAACTCCTCATTTCAGGCGTGAGACTGATTGCTTTGTGTGTAGTTGAGTACACTTTCTTCCATAGAATGTTTTTGGATTGGCTCGATACAGTGAAGGCATGACACTTCATTTTCTTATCGAGTATACGAAGCAGGGAGGAAGTTGAACCGTCAACCTGCTTAGAACATACTTTCAAGCGAGGGAGCGAAGCAAATCCTGCGGACTGGGGCGCCTAAGGCTAAGCTGGGCATATTCTACTAAGTTGGGATTGAATCGCGCCATGCGTCGTGTGCATTTCGGTTTCTCCTAATGGAATCAAACGGAAAGATTGCAGACATTAAGCGTCAAACCCCGTTAACGACCTATTTTTCATACCAATCGAGTTTGAGTATTTCACGTGATGTGGTGCTCCACGGATGGAGAATCACGAGTAAACTGCGAACTTAATTATCGGACATTACTCCTCCNTTTCAATTTCGACTGCCAATTCAATGAAGCACATCTATTTTTTCTGCTTTTATTTCTGTTTTGGTACTTAATACTTATTTAACGCGAACTGTATTGAAAGTAGAATGCATGAGGCAGCTCAGAGAAAATGATTCTTAACGGCTTCTTTTATTTTCATGATCGTGATTGTATTCTGAGCTTAAATGAATTGACCTTTTGTAGCAAATGGAAAGCGTCGAGAGAGAGATTCGACCCGAACTAATTCAATGGCCAGCAATGGAGAAGGTTTCGATTATAGCGACGAGTGTATGTTTATAGTTTCTCTGCTTCTTTCATAGATCTTCATGGTGATAGCTTACACGAAATTTCGGTTTCAGACGAGCTGGATGAGCCATTCAGCGATTCGGACGACGACCTTCGGCCTAAACAACCTCAAAAGCCGAATCTCGTAATACCTCGAGGCAGGATCAGGTATGTTGTGTGCCGTAACATTGTCAAGATCGGCGAATCTTAAAACTCTGCTTTCAGTTTTTCATTCAACATTAGTTAATTTTTAATAATTACAGAACATTGTCTGGCACTGTACCAGTTGTTGGTTATTCTCCGAAATGGGGTGGGCCGACGATGTGTCTGAGCTGTTTGCAGTTTTTCGATCTTCCTGAACAAATGGATATGTTTGAAGAGTGAGATGTTTTCGAAGAATCTCTCATGAGTTTAGCCTGCCAAGGTTTCTGTTGCAGCCATCTTCTCAAAGAGCACAAGATCGTAGTTTCTGAGATGGGTCTCATAGTTGACCCTAAGAGGTGATTGTCTTATTGATATCCTATTTCAATCTGGTTATTTCTAGTTACTACATACTTACTACGCTTAATCATTTTGCGCCGCACATCATTCCTCAGGTAAAGACCATTACAGATATGTCGAGCATTGGCGTCAACGTTTCGCCAAGGAAAGTGTTGATATGATATTCCCACGCGTAGAACCAAAGGAAGGGGAGAAATACTTTGGTAAATGAGCATTACAGATATGTCGAGCATTGGCAGCAGCAGCATCTAAGTGTTGTTCAATTTCGTTCTTATTCTTAACGTGTATAGGAGAAACCGATTACTACTTCAACATGTCGGAAGCGCTACCAGAAGACTACTCTGTTCGCCAACGTTTGGCAATGCGTCGTCTCGAGGAAGCTCTCTCTTGCCAGCAAAGAGAAAGGTAACGAATACTTGATTATATTGTAGAATCAATAAAAGCCTACTTATTTTCAGAGAAGACACCAATTTCCAGCAGCAGTGCATTTTTTGCCGCTATACAGCCCGTGGCAATAGATCGAAAATCATTCATCATCTTTACATGATACATCATCTAAATCTAGGCTCGCCGGATAATCTCGTTTTTGTCACTGAATACATCGAACACCTCAAGGAAAAGTTGCAGGTTGTCTCATATTTTACTACAATAAACAACTTCGTCGTTTTCAATAGCTCGAAGCATGCTATAGGAGCCCTGTTGTTGTCTTCAGTCCCACTCTATTTTTTCCAGAGAAATGAGTGCATCTATTGTGAGAAGACTTTTGGAGATCGCAACGTCCTCATGGACCATATGAGAAAGAGAAACCATAGAGAGGTAAGGCAGTGGATAGCAATTGAAATTATCTCCATATTTTTAATTTTTGTCAGGTTAACCCTAAGAATCATTACTATGACAAGTTCTACATCATCAACTATCTTGAACTCGGGAAACGCTGGCTCGATGTACTTGCTGAAGACTTTGAAGATACCATGCCAACGTTCCTTGATTCGGATGAGGAAGAAGAAGAGTACGTTCACTGTTTACTTTTTCTTCTCTTTTCTTTGTCATTGTTATGGTGTGTTTTTATCACAATAACAAAACCTTTTTAGTAACTCATGGTGTGAATGGCAAGAAGATAATGTAGATGCGGATGAAACGAGAGTTGTATGTCTTCTATGCCATGAAAGTGACGATACCGCTGAGGGTCTCTTAGCCCATATGAAGGTTGCTGTTTAAAGTCTTTTTCGAATACTAACATGATCATTGGAAGCGATAGAGTGATGAATTCCTACCATTCTCCGGAATTTCTCAGCCTTTGATATTTACTCCGGTAAAGTTCGTTTGTACACCTTATATGCAAATGTTGAGGCCGCAGCAGTTTGAGGGCATGATGCCATGTAAAAATTAAGCTAGCTTGACCACCTCGACGTGCTTGTAGTTTATGCCGCGAAAGCTCTTGAAGGACATTTTTTGGCACAGCCTAGCACCGCTTAACTAATGTAAATTAAGGCGAAGGGACTCGACAGTGTTTGCTTGTCATCCGTGAGAACTAGAATGCAAGGCCACAGCGGTTATTCAAGAGGGCAAATGTTAATAGAAAAGAACCTTTTTTTTGTGCGCAAGGTTTGAAGCGAATGAACTTTGTGTATTAGGTAAGACACTGTAGACACTGCTAGACATAAGCGATATTCAAAACCGAAGTCTCACATTAGGGTTGTTTTTGCCACCAGTACTCGTCCGAATGGATTTAATTTTATGTACATAACAAGCAATGCCTATCCATCGATTTTTTTGTTTCTCTTAATGCTCATCGTTCATTGTGTCTTTCCTCATTCTTATTTTGTTCTTATTTCAGGAAAAACATGAGTTTGATCTTATTAAATTGATTGACCAGAACAGGCTTGACGTTTATCAGCGCATGAAACTTATCAATTACATAAGAAAACAGGTGTGTTTATATTGTGACTGGTTCATAGCCTATATCACTACAATTTTTTTCTAGAACTTCCATGCGATTTGTTTCGTTTGTCAGCGCAACGACCTCGGAAATACCCAAGAGCTCGCCAAGCACCTGCAAGAGCATGAAAAACCGATTGAGGTCTTTTTTTAGCTCTTCTAATAGGTCTTCTAATCTTTGGTGATAGAGTGGACTAGATACATCTCAGCTGGTATTTCTGGCGGAAGTCATCTATCCTCAGAATAATAGTAAACCTTTGTGCGTGCACGTCGTAAGTTCCTGCAAATGAGCTACCGTCTACGTTAAGATTGGGAGAGTGTAGGTTGGCAGAGCAGTCTCCTATGATTCATTAACGAACATTATCTTTTCAGTTGTAGGCAGTTTTCACATACGGCAGAATTTAACTTGTCTCNCTATTTCCCATGCTTCGGGAAGAGAGTGGGACAATTTGTTCTCGTGAATTTTACCACTCGAATTTGAAGTCTAACTTAGTGACTTTAAAAATAACGCTTCCTTTTAATATGGGCCAATATTCAACCACTTGACGACAGCACGGCTCAACGGTGAGCCACGGTTTTTCGATCGCGTGGGTGGTACAACGCGGCACAACGGTAGACCGCACCCTTCTCATCGGTTGTTTTTCTCGATTTTTAGTTCTACTTGGAGTTTTTTGTATTTAATGGGTTTGCAATCACCAAATAACACTACACGCAAGGTTGGCTTGGAAAAACATTGCTATGTATTTTCTGGGAACTACTGATAAATTCAATTTTCTCCCTGGAAACCACACTTCTTGTGCATTTTTTGAAAACAATCAATGTAAAATTGACTTTCACATCTGCCCCTAGAATTGACTCGTCTTGTAAGGGTGTAACACTTCCATAAACTCGAGATAGTTGTTTGTAACAAATTTTTTTAAATATCTGCCATCCTTTTAACTGCCTCGATTTCATTAGTATTTCTGTATTCCTTTTCGCCCTTTAGAGTGTTGGACAAGTGGGTTATTCCAATAAATCATTCACTAGTTAACGGTATGGAGATGCATTCTCTGATTCAAGAGTAGTCCATTAGTCATGACCGCAGCAAATGAAGCTGCTGAGGCCTTGCTGGCGGGCCGCTTACCGAAGTAAATCTTGAATCCAAATAGAAAAGAGTAAATCTTAGTCCCCCCACGTGTAACACCTTCAAAGCATAGCTTGAAAAGTTTTATTCTTCAGTTCTATTTTCGTCGGGTTCGGCTAATAATCTTTAAAAACCACTCTCTAAATCGTCCACCGCAGGCTGATCCATTTCGACTCCCAAAGCTATATTATGCATAAAACCGGGCCATACTAAAGTTGAGAACTCATGATTACCGAATTTACACCTATTTCAGACTAAATCATGAAAAAAACGCTTGGAAAAAACCAAAAAATGCCCACACCAGAAAAATGTATCAACCGTGAGACAGCGCGGCTTGACGTTGAGCCGCGGAAGCGGAAAGCTTCGAAATGCGTCTGTCTCGCGCGCCAGACACGCAAAAAGGCGCGTTGTCGTCAAAGGGTCAAATAGTACCTACACTTTATATAAACTCATCCTGCCTGCTGCCGCACTTTTGATAGGAAATCTCTGCTCCCAGGGAGTCCGTGGTTTTCCTTGTCTTCGTTGTCATCTTTTTTATCGTTTCCCTGTATTGTCAATTGCTATTTTTGAGTTTTAATACTTCAGAGCCTTCCGGACAAATCGCTTTGGGATACCGAAGAATGCTTAGTACCTATCTTCGGCAATGACAACCTACTCTGGAGGCTTGAGTCTTTGTTGGAAAGCCGGGATGGAGCAAGTGACACCGAGGAGCGTACTCGTCGCGAAAGCGAGAAAGTCTATGCTTCATTCGTGGCTGAAAGTCGGAAGAACACTGTGGATGGGGTTAGTTACCTTACTTGTTTTCTTATCGCTTTCAGCAATTCGAAAAAGGGTGTTCTTTCAGGTTATTGCTGAAGATTTACCAGATCTGCATGAACTCAAAGAGGACGACCTTGACGAGCTGATGTAAATTGGCTTCTGATTTGTGCACCGTCGAGTTTCTATGCTTCGAATAATTCAGTCGAGCCTACTGTTCTGTTACTTCTCTGATGCCCTTATTACTTTCCTTTTGTACATTCGTAGCTTACCTACAATCAAAGAGCAAATTCCCCCACGCTCAAATAGAAAAATCGTGTAGTATCTAGGCTGCGTAGGGTTTTCGCTGTTCCAGTCCTTTACTGTCAGATTTGCACTGTCTTCTCATAAACGCCGGCAGGCGCTAGAGTCATCCTTCCTTTTCCGATATCATTATTGAATTTCATTGGTTTTTCATGGTTAGTTTCCTTGTTCGCCTTTAATTGGTAGTTTTGTATTTTCTTATTATATGTATGAGATTCCTGTACAATCACTGGCATGTTTGTTTCGCCTTTCACAACATTCGTTGATTCAACGTAACATACTCACATTGTCTTGTCTGTGTCTTCCCATTTTACGCTCGTGTCCTATTTTTTCTCTTCTCTTTTTTACCACTTACCCTTTGTTTTTTTCACCATACTCACCGCAGAACAACCTTGTCGTTCGAATCGGAGTCGCGTTCTCGGTGATTTGTCATCCTGTGCGCTTATGGAATTGCGATTCCTGGCGTTGAATTGTCCTCACCCTGTTTTGCCTCCTTTTTTGTTGTACTTGCAGAAGGGGCCAAAACTGTTTGAGCGTCGACTGTCCGTCAACGAGTTGCCAATTCATCATTAGTACAGCAAAGCGTTGTTGAAACTTGAATGTTGATTAAAGTTTATAAAAAAGTTATTATACTAATTATGGTCACATTTGTCCTTCCATATCGCCAATCGGCAGTGTTCGTTTTGTTATTGAAGAAGTCATGGGCTACATTTCGTGTCCCACATAGGTGATGCTGACGTTTAGTCGTAGGGTGAACATATGTTTCCTACGACAAGCATCATCCCTGCTTCTGGTGAAACCTGATCGACGATGTTCTCCACCTTACATTGAGGCCTCCACTTCAGGTTGTGATTGCGACTTTTTATTGCCTTTTATGTCCATGGCATTTTCTTCAGGCAGGTATAGCAAGGGTGATTTTTTCTTATCAAGCCACTTCTTCACATCATTATCACGATAAGCTTCCTCAGTACCGAAAGATCAGTCTGGCAAGGTGAAATAGCTCTGAGCTCATGATGTGCGTTATGTGACATTGCTTAGCCATTTACCTATCACCCATCACTTGTCCATATGTTAGGATAGGCCCCGTTGTGCTGAGCTCAACGGAGCAAAAGATAATCTTCGGCTCGAAACCCCGTTACAAATAGGGAACTCTTTGTACCCGTGATGGTTACGGCTTGACCTACCAGGTTTATTGATTGGGATTCAATGTGGGATTCGGGACAATGATTCGTGAAGATGAGAGAATGAAAGGTTTGCATGTCCAGATTGAATTGAGAATTTGCGCTACTGTCAGTGGGGATGATCTACGTTTGCTTAAGCATTTCCGAAAAAAGCTAACAAAATCAGCACATAAAAACAAATTCATAAATGGGACGGTTGTATGTATTGTAATTGCTTTAGTATGATCCATATGGTAGAAAAGTGTCGATTTCATTTCTGCTGTGCTGACTTTCGAAAAATGATGGATGGTTCGCCATTACCAAGAGTTCCGGTCGTAAAAATTCGAAAATAATTTCCTGCTCAAAGCATTGAACATTCGGTATATTAGCTGGTGTTGGTCTTCCCAAGTGTTCACAGTTTTCTCAGGGGTCTAGGCAATATACCTAGTTTCTTGGTGCGTTTAGATCCTGAGTTTGCTAGCTTCGCTGGACCCGTTGTATTTTCAATCGGGTTGCGTTGCATCGCGGGTCCTCTCCAGCTAATTTGGATATGATAGCCTGTCGCATCAATTATAATTTTATGCTAGCTACCCTTAGACTATAGTCTAAAACATATCCAATGTCCGGCTCGCAATGTGTTATACCTGATTTTTGAGAAAAATTTCTCTGGCGACCCTGTGAGAATGCTGTTTGGTTGAAGCGGTTGTAATGGAGCGAACTGATTCGTAGAAGCGTAATCGCGTCAAATAGGAGAAGGAAGGCAACATATGCTTTATTCTGAATTTTTACAAAGCATGAACGGAGATGGTTGTTTTGACTGAGTCGCACTTGTCTTTTTTTTGGGTTTTTGTCGCGAATTTATTTATATTTTTTCAGGAGATGTGACGCCACTCATGTTACCAAAGCGGTTTTACGCTACCAAAGGTAAAAGAGGAAAAAGGAAGTTTGTTGAACCAGTGGTTGTTAAACATATCAAGAGTACTAAAGAAGTCGTGGACCTGTACGATGATATGACAGCCAGGTATTCAAGAGTAAGTACTTGGTTACCGAACGATCTCATTAACTTTTTAGGGAGCTTTCTGAAGTGCTCAATGTAGATTTGGACGTTGTTGCTGAATCGCTCATCGATATGGACAAGCAGAACCTCGAGATAATAGGCGAGGATAAACCGATTGATAAAGAATATTTGATCAAGGTGGTTTTTTTTCTGTTCACTCGTTCGGATTTGACGTGAAATAATATTCATTGAAAGAGTTCAGACAGCTGCGCTTTTTGATTGCAAACCACGCTTTGTTGCTAGGCCGCGCAAGAAGGACGCGGAATCTGATGATGTTTTACCGCAGTAAGTTCTTTTCTGCGCCAGTTTTCCGTAAAAGTGTGTTTCATCATAATAAGGGGATCAGCTGTGGGCTGACCAGTAAACAAGATTATTGAAATCTCAGGTAAACCCACTTAGACCTCCTCCGCACCCATCAGAATGCATAAGCCGACCACCAGTGGTGACTATTATGGGGCACGTCGATCATGGAAAAACAACGCTGCTTGACGCTTTACGAAACAGTCATATTGTTGCTGGAGAATTTGGAGGAATCACACAGCATATCGGAGCATTCTCAGGTTTCGTTAACATTTCTTTTGAGGTGTGCATTCAAATCTAAGGTAGGGTCTATGTAACTTTGTTGTTACATATATTTTAATTTCAGTGGATCTCAAAGGAGTTGGCCGTAGGGTGACATTTCTTGATACGCCTGGCCACGCAGCTTTTGCAGCCATGCGAGCACGAGGCGCTAAAGGCGCTGATATCGTTGTTCTGGTTGTAGCTGCTGATGATGGTGTGAAGGAACAAACCGTGCAGAGCATAAAGTGAGTAGACCTATGTGTTTTTTAACACGCCCATTCACTACAACGGATTTATAGCAATATTTATCAGTTCCATCTCATTTTCTTACACATTTTAAGGTTCGCTCAATCTGCTGGAGCTCCTATCGTTGTTGCTATCAATAAATGTGATAAACCTACTGCTGATCCAGTTTGTTTTCCCTTCTTTCTTTAAAAATCTTTATTTCTACTTCCACTGTTTGATCTGACAACAACTCAGTGTCAAAAAAAACCCCAAAAATACTTTGGCTTCCTTGTTGTGCTCCTGTTTAATTACAACAACAACTAAGATGCGAGCCAAACGATCTTTAATGGAGCATCATGTCGTTGTAGAAGAGTTGGGTGGTGATGTTCAATGTGTTGAGATTTCGGCTCTGCATGCAAAAAATCTCCCAGCTTTACAGGTAAGTTGTTTTTTTTTGTTTTTTTTCTAGCTTTTTATCATGATTAGCAGCGTTCAGGAGGCGTTGTTAATGCAATCTGATTTGATGGGCTTGAAAAGTACCCCCAAAGGACTTGCAGAAGGTGTTGTCATTGAATCATCGGTAGTTCACGGTAGGTGACTTCGGAATCTGGTCTGTTTCCATGAAAATATCACCGCCATTCAAACTGATTTCTCGTAATTTAACTTAAATGCTATGAAAAAACACTTTTTTTCGGAAGGGCGGTTAACCTTGTGTTTTTTTGAACACCTCTTGGAATCTATTGATTTGTAAAAGTGTGCGTTCAAGTGAAACCTGAACTTACAGTTCACCATAATCACCGGATCCTGTAGATTATATAGAAAGCGAGCTTTAGAAGCATTAGTGATTAAAAAATTATCACTAATTCCAAAAGCCCCTTATCGCTAATTTCCTTGTATGAATCCTTTCTTAAACGGTCTTCTAGGAGAAAAAAGCCTCTTTCGTTTCAAGTGATTCTGAACCACATAACGTGAAAGGCTATCATGCCTGAGGCTATGATTAAGGTTTATCGTTTGGAAGTTCAACCTTTTTCATGCCTCACAATTAGCATTAAAAACGTTATCTTGTTTTTTCTACAGGAATTGGTAAGGTTTGTACGGTGGTGGTGACTCGTGGCACATTACGTAAGAATGCCATTCTTGTTGCTGGTGGAGCGTGGAGTCGAGTACGCACAATGACGGATGAAAACGGACGAAATTTGCAGGAAGCGGGACCTAGTACTCCAGTTCGGGTAATGCGCTTTTCCCAAATCTTCAGTTTTGTGTTCTCGTGAATGTTTTTAGGAAAAATTAAAGCCATTTACGCAGCTTGAAACCACAGGTTTCTGGGTGGAAAGAAGACATTCCCATGCCGGGAGAACTGATCTTGGAAGTAGAATCGATGGATCGTGCGCAGCGAGCTGTAAAATATCGTGCCGACAAGGAAATGGCGGAGAAAGCGGAAAAGGACTGGGTGAGTATTTTTTATCATGGTTCTGTTCACTGTGACTGAAAACTCATGAATTACGGTGGTTACAAGCGATTAAGAATCTCCGTTTCAGGAAGCGATTGAAGAGCGCCGGAGAGAGGAACGTGAAAAGTATTTAGCCAATCGTCAAAAACTTTTGGATAAGGTATTTTGTACCGCAACCTCTTTTTTTATTGGCACTTAAGGAGTAACGGAACAAAAGAAAAAAGTTTGTTACTATTTCTCTCTTGCTTTTTTTACCTGTGGTCCTCTCAACATGTCCTGATCGATACTACGTCTTTCTGAAAGAAAGAGGAAGCATTTTCATACGTTTTCTGGCATCTCTAAGTAGCATGCATGACTGTAAACTCGCACTCAAACGTCGCTACGGTTATGAAATGAGGATTCCTGATATACGTTTTGATTAGAGACACGTGGGGAAGATTCTGTCGCCTTTCCTGGAATATATCGCTGTTCCAGTTACAAAAACAACTAGAGGCTTACCGGAACCATAAACCGGAACGCCCACCCATGACCATCCATCCCATTGTTAGAGTTGGTAGAACGAACGATGTGACTATTGAAACGTTAGGCTTGCGTAAGAATGGAAGCGTGGTAAAGAACTGAGTCGTAACTTTTCCATAAGCCTGGCGTTGTCGTCATCGCGAGCGTCCTGTTCTTGCGCATCAAGTGTACGGAACTTTGGCGAAGTGCTTTCATTCCATGAATTCTCTGTTATTATTTGCTTGCTTTAGTGCACTCATGAGATTTGAAAACGTTCGTTATGGATACTCTTTTAAATTTCCTTTACAATATCCTAATTCATTATTTAGCACTTTGTTAAGGGTTATCGATATGGGTCAACTTTGCGACAGGTAGTTCACAAGGAGAAACGACTGGAGAAGCCTAAAGATGATGGTTTTCCAAGGCTCCATTTATTGGTGAGTTTTGCAACATGAAAAGTTTCGCAGTTGGAAATTGTTCCTTTTTCTTCTTGAGTTTATGAAATACGAGTTCTCACCGAGATCACGTTATCCAGTTCTGGCTTCAGTGGGCCTGGAGGAGGGTAGCGGAATAATGCGACACTTCTCAAAACTCCTTTCGGTGTATTGAACGTGGTGCAGTCATTGAGATCTTTACCTTAGACATACCCTTAGAGCTTTGTGACATTATTGCCAAATTTGTATGACAACATGGAACATGATTTGTACATCTCATGCCTGCCCTCCGCTTCTTGATAACCTCCAGCGGCTAGAGGGTCAGGTCCGGGACCATTTTGGATCCCCGAGTTCGTTGAGAACCGTATCTCAGTTGTGGTCTGACTTGCTTAAAGCGGTTACTGCAAACGTCATACGTGTCGGGGGCGTCAGCTCTTATAGGTTTTGCAGAACTTTTTTATTCATGTGCAGAGTCACAGAGCTGCCTCAAAGGTAAATTTTCGGTCATGCCCCTACGCAAAGTCTGATGGGACTGAATTTGAGAAAAAGTTAGCCTAAATTCATAAAATTGGAAATAGTAAAAAAGAAGTGTCAGATTTTTAGCTCCGCGCTGATGTGGAAGGAACGCTGGAAGCAATTTTGAATGTGATAGATACTTATGATAGTGAAAAATGCAAGTTTCAACTGGTTGATTTCGGGATTGGTCCTCCTACGATCGCGGATTTGGAAATGGCAAAAGAAGCTGAAGGTACGATTTGCCCAACATTTTTTGATTGTCTGTATCTCATTTTTAGACCTTTGTTCAGCTCTAATTTACCTCTTCAACGTGCAACCACCCACTGCTATCCGTACGCAAGCTGAACAAGATGGTATACGTATAGAGCAATTCAATGTCATCTATCGGCTCGTCGAAGCTCTGAAGGATGAGTTATCGCGGACCCTGCCAAAACTCACCGAACTGGAACTTGTTGGGGAAGGACATGTCCTTAAGGTAAAGCAGTACGAAGCTTTATAGAAGGTTTTTTGCTAGTTTTTATCAACGGAAATACTCTCTGTTATTGTTTATTGTTTTTGTTTTCATTAGTGATTCTCATATTCTATCGAATCATTTGGTACTTGATAAAGTAGAATTTTTAGGAGTTTCTAATTTCCGACCGCAATAGAAAAAAGCAGCCTATCGCTGGCGTTCTTGTGGACTGGGGAAACTTTCAGAGGTGATCGATTATCCTCATTCTACTTGTTTTCATTTTTTGGACACGATTTTCTAGCAAAACGAATTCAGGGACTGCATTTTCAAATTTCTACGGGCTGGCAAGCCGTTTTATGAGGGGGAGGTGGAGTCAATGAAACATCAAACAGAAATGGTCAGCAGTGCGACAACTAACACGGAGGTACTGTTCCGGTCTTGCACAAATTTTCGTCTTGACGTGATATTAACTACATCTTTTACAGGTTGGGCTTGCTCTAGGAGACAAAAGTGTTCGATTCAAAGAAGATGACTCAGTTGAGGTGTACATCAAAAAAGAAGTGCCTCAGACTATCGACTGGAATCCTCCCGGTTTCTGATTGATAATCGAATTATCAGATACTTTAGTATATAGTCTAGATTAGCTATTATAGGTGCATGCTAATTGTTTCACTTTGCATGACTGCTTGTACACATTGTTACAATAAATTGTTCACATCTCGTGTTATGCTTCTTCATGATGGGCTATGCATTATGTTTGCGCAATATTTATCCAATGGATTTCGTTTTTCATGGATTATGCTAAGCAACGGCCTATTCTGGGATGATGTTCAATGTCCTAGCATTGTGGTGGACCGGCAGCTAGATAACATGGACGTCGAAAACTCGAAACTCGTGGATGGACTTATTTTCGGATATCTTGGCAGGCGACAGGCTAGTTTTGATTTTGTTTTTGTATTGTGTAAAGTGGAGGTAACTTTATTCTTTTTGAAGCTTTTATCGATTCCTTCAGCGCGTAATAAAGTAAATCAAATCTGTCCATACCTACTCGTTCACTGCTCAATCCCAATCTCCAATTCCATAAAAATGACGATATCAAGCTGTTTGGACGGTTTTGCATTCATCTATGCGGTAGTATCGCAGGGTGAAAGCGATTTCCTTCTTTGCTGAACTCGAGACGGCAGTTTTTCGTGTGACGGGTTTTTCGTGTTAGTGTTTCTCTCTCCATGCAAAACATTTATGTGGCGGCATGGCAAGTGCTACCAGAAAGACGACTTAGTATTTGCTTATGTTCCTGAGTACTCCGAACGTTTATCTTGAAAGATGACTACCTATTCTTCAAAGTTTTTTTTTNTTTTTTTTTATATTACTTATAGACCTAATACCTGAATTCCACGGTAAATCTATAACTTTGGAATTCTTTTCTTTCTTTATCAAGAGTGATCATATCCCCTGAAGTATAAACAGTTACTTAGTTGACAAAATGATATCAGAAGGGAAAACGATTCTCAGATGAATGAACGAAGAGATAGAGCTATACCATTACTCATAAGTTTGGCTATACCATTACTTTTGTGTACTACACTTCAATTTGTTCACAAACTCGTACTTGTGTTTTGTGGGTAACGGCAACTCATGTTTTGTCGACAAATCGTCAACCTTGTGAGACTTTCGGATCACCCACTGCGGCAAAACAACAGCACTTAACATCAGTCAAAACAAAATGCTAACGCTGCTTTTTCAAACTTTGTCAAGGACAGACTCTCTCTGGCATTTGAGTTTTGGAAACCAGAGCTGCAATTCAAGATATTTTAAGGCTGTTGGATTTGGGTTTCATTATGAGAATGTGTTCATATTTTCTCAATTTCTGGTTTGGGAAAATGTCTCTTCCCATGACTTGAGGAGCCGAAAAACTGCCATGTTGAGGTCGCAGAATTCCTTTACAAAATACTCTCGATGCTTTTTTCTTTTCATGAGACTTTAACCGCATAGCCTTTCACCGCTTGCGCAATACTAGACAAAGCAATCCGATGCCAATGGTTGTGCATACCTCAGCCTTGTTGTTATCGTGACGTCATTTCTTGCACTTTTCACGTTAATCTTTGTTCTGCTGAAGAAGTAATCTCTTTTGCTTTTCAAAGTTGTCGGAAGATCAGTGTCGCAAAACTGATCATGTATCGAGAGAGGAAGAATTTAGATGATTAATCGTCTGTAGACTTCTGAAATTCGGAAATTCTAGTATCAAGAGACTTTGCGAGCTTTCTGCAACGAGGCGCCATCTCTTCGGGATAATCGTCATCGCTTTGAGAATGGTGGAGATGTCTATATTCAAGTCAGTGATCAGTTACATGAGAAAAACCTCGAGCAAATAGTCAATGTGAGTTTAAATTTCTCTAATGGTATCATTTACCTGTTTGAACGCCTTATAAAATTCTTGTCAAATTTTCGATTGTAATTAACAGGCTTTTGCTGTAGTCGGTCGTTTCGATGTTTCACCGGAGCTCATAGACTTCGGTATTCGTTTACGCGACCTCACGAATGAATTTTCGACGATGACCGCTGTCAAGGGACGTACTGTGAGGTAATTGTATGACCGTCTTCATGAAACTGCAGTACTTCCGCTGAGTTTTCTTAAGCTTTCTCCCTGTTTTCTCTCATAATCTGAGATATACCGCCTGTGTTTTATTGCTCTCCGAAAAAATATTTGCTAACTGGGACAAGGAATTTGCTCTCCTTGTATGAAAAAACGCTATTTACTCCATCCTAGTGCCCCATTCCTTTGACATCCTAGTGCTTCTCACTCGAATTTGACTCCGTTCTTAAGTGATAACCAGATGAAGCTCTATGGCAAGAGAGTATTCAGCAAACAGCCAACTTCACGGTCTTCTCAGCCTGCTCTTCGTGACACGGAGCCACAAAAGTCGCAGCAGCAGTTCCTTACGACCTACTGGTAGGTTCGAATTTCATATTAATGGTAATGTGGGCTAGTAATGTGTAGTTAATTCATCTAAGAAGGTTCTATTTCATCTTTCAGTTTATGCAGTAACTACTTCATATGGACTGATTTAGGCCTAAAGGCTTGAAGCTATCAAACCTGTTCAAAAGAAGCCACCCTTTCAAGTGTCCTCATATATAATAATTAGCTACCGACCAATGAAACGTTAACTGTTGCCAAACTTCCTACGGGAATTTTCTTCTAGTGCGTCTCAAAGTGGTAATCAAGCTGCGTATCAAAATGCAAACGTCCACTCAAATCAACCACAACAAGTTCTCAGCCAACAAGATTACAATTACGATTATCAGCCACAGGTATTCCAGGCATGAATGCATTTCTCCACCAATATGTAGCTGAATTCACTCATTACACTTTTTGTTAGCCTCACGCCTCCACCTACATGATGCCTAATTCTTCATCGTACTCTCCAATGCAAATTGTTTCTCAAACCTCAATAGCTTCATCTGCTCAGGTATGCTTCTCAATGAATGCTCACAAACTCAACACTCGATACGACTCACACGTTACCTTTTCAACAAATGTAATGTTTTGATTCCCTGTTTTTCGGACCAACCCGCTGTTCTCATGCGTTAGTTTCAACTAGGTTATAGTGCCTGTGCGTTGCAACAACAACCAGTTGATCTTAATCGGTTGGAAGAACTATTTTACATCAGAGTCAAGTCAACTGCAGTCGTTCGGAATTTGGAAAAACATGGATGCTTCTATTCAATGTCTTACATATATTCGAGCCGTGCTCGGCCAATTTTACTCGTTCTCAAGATCCGCAGTATTTACTGGTCAGAATTGAATCATGTAACAGGATCGAACTCTTTCAAATTTTGGTCGCGCGCGACTTGATTATGGTGATGGCCAATTAATTTTGCTAATGAAGACTCTGATCTTCAGGATATTTCTGCAACCAACACGATTACTTACCTAACCACTGGTCCCGCAATGCCTGCTGCACATCCACCAACGTCATGTGAACAGCCAATGCTAATCGATTACGGTGTCAGTGTCAAAGACAATCAGCAAGACATGAACACAGCACCATGCACCAGGTTTATTCTTCTACATTCACCGAGTTACGAGTGCCACTATGATTGAATGAGGGCACTTTTATCTTTGAAGAGCATGAGCCTTCATTTGCCGTCATCAAACTTTCGTACCGCCGTCTTTGATCATTTTCCGTCTCTTTTACGTGTACGCCACAAACTTGTAGCGGTGATCCAACGCTGCTGCAAGTGTGCATTGTTCACATAAAAAAAGGCAGACATCAAGGCCGGCAGTACAGAGTCACCAGGTCTATGTGGGAAGTATGCTTGAAAGCGCCTTTAAATTTTTGAAGTAGATACAACTGCAATTTGGCATTTTGCAAGAGGTCTCTCAGATCATTCCATTTGAGCAATCCTCTGTGCACAATTATGGAGCTACCTGTGGTTGCTGCTGGGGATCTTGACCTTCACGCGTCACAAATACTAATAATTTCAGAAATGATACATCTGAACAATGTGGCAATGCCCCGCATGCTCATCTAAGCTCATCCTTTTCCTCAGAAAGCGGTATACTTGATTACTAGTGGCTGAATAGGAAATGTGCTTTCATGCCTTGTTTCAGGTGCACACAAACGGAAAGCTGCGGTGCCACATCGTCGTGATGAACTCGTTGCACAGACGGCACAATCATTAATCGTCCCCAACGGCGTGTTGTTGGACTTGGATTCGGATGCGGTGGCCAAATCAGCATCGGTGAGGTTCCTCTTAAAATTCTTGGCTTTGCACTGGTCTCATGCTGGTGTTTCATTTCTGTTGCGCCCAATTTATGAACTTTAGCATGCATCCCTGTTGTCTAACATTGATGATTCTGCCATGCAGTGTTTGGACCGTCTTATTAATGGAAATCTGAATGAGGTATTTTTCAGTGATGGATTATTTACTTCATTACATTTCATAACGCCCTAGTTTCTTCTTCATTCAGGTATTTCCATTTTGTGACGACCATGGGGATCTGTCGGGATTCGATACTGAAATGGAAAATGCTTTCCCTAGAAATCAGAGTAGGGGCAGTGTATGTCCGGAAGAGGTCTCTTAGCGCTTCTTGTGATGAGTGTTCCCATATTTCTGGAGTTATGAAGTTTCAGGGAACTGGAGATCCATTTTCGGAGCCTGCTCCTCCTCCTCTCGACGTCGGTCCTTCACATAGTCCACCACCTGAAGCCCATGCCTCCAAAAGTCGCTCACTTGATGAGGGAGAAATAGTTAGTGAAGAAAATCTGCATGTAAATTCTTACCATTTCCAATGATTTTTGAACATCGTGAAGATTTGGACCTTCTGATGGGAATTTCTTTTTTTTTTAAGGGAAAAACTGAAAAGCAGACGGGTAGCAAGGTATTAGTGAGATCGGACGATTTCGAAGCTACCCCGGCGCGTGAACACTCACCAACTCTTCGTAGCGAATCAAGGCGTTCCTCATTGGACTCCGGGTAAAGTTTAGAGCTTTTTTTATAATTCCTAGAATGGACTCTAAATATTTGGTGTTGCAAAAATCTTGAGACACTCCCATGCAAGTTTGAAATTCATTTCGGCAATTGGCTAATCTCTTCTCCAGTGAGAAGAGAGTTGCGAGTCAAGGAAATATCAGATGAGACGAAGTCAGGGAAGTAGAGAGGATAGGGAACGGTATTCTAGCCAATTTCCTGTATCCTGGACTATGGGGTCTTTGTAACAGGAGGGCGACCACTATCACACAGAAGATGGATAGAAGCTAATCTCGATCGCTTTTCTCCGGTTGTATTAACGGTTTTGTGTGCTGACCGCGGTAGAGAGTAGCCGTGACATTCTGACCTTGAGACAGCAACTTGTGATATGGCATTCCTCTCGATACCTAAGAGCAGCGCAGGAAAACCTTTTTCACATGTTGGTTTGGCTTAGGCCGCGCAAGCGATCTCCCTTCAAGTGAGAGATCTCATATCGTCGTCATCGGGGATCCAGTTCACATCTCCCGTCATCGGCTCCTCCAGAAACTTCCCAATGAGAGGGAAATTAGAAACGACTGTGATCGTGAATCAGAAATTTCCCTGCAACGGTGTTCGTGGAAAGGATGTTTTCGTGGTGGCACTCAAGAAGTTACGCTAATTCCCTGCTTGTAGCCTCCGGTATCTTCTCCATTTCGTGAAATCAATCGTCATCGGTAGAAAGTGATCGCCTTGACGAGGATCGCCTACCAGCGTCGTATCTATGGAATGAAAGCAAGCAAATAAACGAATAATGGTCACATGGTCCTCTCCGATGGTAGCGTTAATGTTGAAGGCAGTGGAACGAGCACTGGAGCAGTGTTTAGCTGCGGTAGGAGACAAACGCTCGAAGTTGCTCTCTCACTGGCTGCTTTCATAGTCCGCGATTTAGCCCGCGAGCGAGCGAGCGATTGGTGCGGCGCTTGCCCCTTGTTTACAATTGAATCTTGGTCGATACCGCCGGACGAGTAGACCCCCGGCTGACTCGCGCGCTCGCGGACTATGAAAGCAGCGACTCGTAGCAACATGGTTTGCAAAGGAAGCGCGCGAAGACTTGTTGAGTAGTGCTGGTGGTAACAGGGATTCTGCTCCAGACGTTATAATAGTTCTAGAGTGGCATATTATTTTCTGCCTCAAGATTTTTGCATCATCGTGATGAGTATTTACTGGTTCCTGCGCCTCTGATACCCAGCTCTGCTTCGATTATTCTTTTCAGAAGAAGCAAACGCGATGAAAGACGAACTGCGGATAGGCTGAAAGATTTTAATCGCAATCCTCCAAAGACACATAACAATCCTAGAGTGAGTTTCGATTTCCATTCTCATATATCCCACCCTAGTCTGAACCTGCTTAATTTTCTGTACTTTCCGTACACAGCCAGTTGGTACTAGCTTTACGAGATAAACCAAATCTTCATTTTCATCATTCTTCATTACAACTGACAGGAGCGGTTTCTACAAAATCGCTTATATTTCGAATCACATCACATTTCATACTTGGTCTTTATAGAAGTCAACTGATCGCTCTGAGTTGAAGGATGCCATGATATTTGAGTCAGGAAACGTTCCCAGAGTGCATACCCCTACAAGTACAGGAAGTCGTTTGTCGAGAGAGCGTACACGGTAGGTGACCAACAGAATGCCATAAGCTTGCACATCACTGAGTTTTTAAGAGGTTTTTCATCGTTGTTCGAGGAAGGTCACAGTAACCCGTCCTCGCGTGATTCCTCACCTCATCGTGAGAAGTTGAGCAGGAAGGAAGAGGAACGCCGTCGTCGGGAGAAGGAAATGGAAAAGGAGAGGCAACGAGATAAGGAGCGCTTGAAGCGTCAAAGGTTTTTCTTCACACCGCTAAGTTTTTTTATATGTTCCTTGGCTGGTTCCATTTGCGATGACAAACTTTCCCATTTCCAGGCGAGATCGTCATCGGGAAAGTGAACGTCAGCCACAGCACAGCCCGGACAGAAAATTAGAGAAGAAAGCTCGCCAAAGAGATGATGAAGAGAAAAATCGCGATACAAAGGAGAAGGAGAAGAAACGGGAACAAGCAGAGGAGCGCCGGGTGATTGATGAAGCTGATAGAAGAAAAGCTGAGGAAAAATCAAGAAGAGAAATGGTCAAAAAGAAAAAAGAAGAGGAATTGGAAGCCCGGCGACAAGCTGAACTGCAGAGGCGAGCGGAAGCAATGAGGAGGAAAGAAGAGGAAGAAAGGAGACGCCGACAAGAGGAAAAGGAACGTCAGGAGGAGAAGAAGAGAGAAGAGGAGAAGCGATGTCTAGAGGAGGAGAAAAAGAAAAAGCGAGAAGAGGATTCAGCACGACGTGAAGAGGAGAAATCGCAGAAACGCAGAGACGAGGATGATGTTGTGCAGGAAGTACTGAGGAAAGAGAGCGAAGAGGGCAGGAGGGAAGCGAATAGTGACGCTAGTGATGGGCAAGAGACAGCGAGGAGTACCGTACACTCAGATCAGGAGAGCTGCAGCTCTGATGGAGACAACGGTCCTTCCGCTGATAACATGCGTTCGGCTGGGCGTGACGAGGAAACGATGCCTAGTAAAAAGGAATCACGTGGTCAAGAACAGAAACCGCGCTCTCTTAAGGCGGAAACGAGGAAAGGAACTGAAACTACAAACAGACACGCCGAGCGAGATGTGCCGCTTGAGAGCGAAGACGATGGTGCTCCTCCTTCGGAAACTGACGAAAGGAGAAAGAAGTCCAGGGAAGAGACGCGTCCTAGTAAAAGTACCACAGACAACAAAAAGGTAACATTTTGGTGGTTTTTTGGTGGTGTTATAGTAAACAGTAGTTTTCAGTGCCTTCAGTACTGATAGTTATAAGACACGGTTTGCAGCCACCTCCACTGCCTATTCCTATTCGCCGTCGTGAGGAACAGAAAAGGACTTCTGCCAAGCCCTTGGAGCCAGGGATGATGATGAGTGATCCTGGTGTTTTGGATCGCATAAACAAGGAAATGGAAAGTTTGACACCGAGGTAATCTGCAGTAGTTGATTGTGTTTATTTATGGTGACCAATCCTTTACAGTTCGAAGAATCGACCGAGCTCTAATCGATCGCCGGAGGAGTCCCTTCCAAGCGTTAAAAGTTTGCCAACGACAAGAGTTAGTTTTGAGATAGTTATAATAACTAATTAGATGATTACTTGTTATAATTCCAGATTCCCAAGCGCGACACTCCTGTAGACTACAACCAAGTTCTTTTCTCGAATCCGCCGGTAGTAAAACGTACGCCACCCGTAGTAGAGAAGAAGGTAATTGGGCTTGCCATCAACTTAGGTTGTTTGTTACCTAGCAGCGCTATTTTGGAATAGGTTAAGAAGTTACTATACCAGTTCCGTCACGTTTCCGGCTTTGTAACTCCTCTCCTTGGTCTGTTTCTAGAAGTAGCCATGTGTGTATCTACTAACTTTATGTTGTGCACGTGCATGGTCTTCCGCGTGGAGAAGGACATCATCCCAACATTTCTAACAGAATTATTTTCGGACTTTGGAAATATGAAACATCAGTGGTCCGCATAAATGGCCCCTTCGACATGGCACCCTATTTTTGGCACAGGGAAAATCCACATCCGTACAATCTCCAAAACTTCAATTAACCATTCGTAAGAGTGAGAACTATACGAACTAGCGGTGCTTAATATTGTCTTGACCTGCATGGCGAGTATTCCTAATGTTAAATGTGTCCTGATTCATAAATTTGTACATTTTCAAGAAGAATTATGTGATATCAAGTGGTTTGTCGACTCCGAATGTCAACCAGATGGTTTTTTCGAAGGCACACTCTTCTAGATGTGAGTGTGCAGTGAACAATGAAATACATATGATTGTTAATGAAATGGAAGGGCAGCATGAAATTAGAGTTTTTCAGTGGGCATGTTCCTCGAGAAGGTCAGCGATAAGCATAAAAGGTTGATGGAACGGGAAAACGATCGAGCAACTGCATCTCCTGCTTACGATGTGAGTAGCAAATTCATATTATCTTTCAGCACTTGCCTTACAGTATAGCGTTGTGTTATACCATTTATTCATATAATATGAATTAAGTATTTAATTATGATATTAAAGTTTAGTACATCAGTGCGTAACATGCGCATATAAACTGGTGATCAGCAAAAAAGCATGACTAGTCAGTGACATTGCCTGACCTGCGTTGAAACCACCTCTTTTGCATCTATTCTTTCGGCTAGGAAATATTTCGAAGCATCATTACAGGCGTGCAAAGCCAGCTACCCCTCCTCTCCCAAACATTGAATATTCATTTCGGTTAGGATAAAGTCCGACGTATGCAGGACAATCCGGCTAGCATTTTGTGCTTGGAAACTCTGGATTCTTGCCGATTGAAAGAAAATTTTTGCGGGCTTTTGTCCGGCTAATAGATTCAACTTTGCATATTCCTAAACTGGCCTGTTGTAGCTGCGAGCAACTTGGGATCTTTCTATTAGCTGTTTCGTCATACATGTATGTATCTTTCAGGACCCTGATCGAAACGGAGCTCCTTCTCCGATTGGCTTTTCACATTTCCCTAGGCAGCAGCAACAGAAGTTTGCACCTCAAAAAAGGCCGTTACCTGCGACAAGTTTGGACTCCTACCTCGGCTCTCCTCCTCAGGTATGTTTCACAGCCTTACATTTTCATGCGCTGCGAAATACCTCGGAAGAGTTCGTTGAATTTTATTCTCAAGTTTGGACTAATGCCTTGACTCACTGGGATATTCAACCACTGCTTTTCTCCAATTACTGTGTAATCGTGTCATGGTGGCTGATTTCATAAACTCTCTCTTTCATAAACTTTCTTTCATAAACATTCGTTATTCTCTTTCTTAGTGAAAGTGTTGGATGAGAAGTAGTTCGATTTCTCAAGGGTGGAGAGCCANAAGGCCTGAATTGGCTGTGGTGTCCTGGTCTTACAATTTCCGCTTAAGAGTATTGCCCAGATTGTTGCCAGTTGGTGGCCCTTTAGTGGGTAGACATTTCTAAGGCAGATGAAGTAGCTGTCAATTTCGGAACTTTTAGCCTCTACGATTTGCTCTCAGTGAAGTTTCAGCTTGATCACAATGAAAAGATCTTTTTCTTATTAGGCTGTCACGCGCAAGACTGCAAGCATCGCCGCTCACTGCACTATGGTTTTACCGATCTTGGAACCAAAGCAATTCTCTCTCTCACTCTCAGTTGACAAGCTCGGAACATCTGCTATCCGATATTTTCGTTTTGGTTACTGGAGCTTTTGTAATATTGAGGGCGAGTCTCTACTAATTTACATAAGTATCGGCTGAATTTCACACTTTCTGATTACTACACCTCTACTGTCGCCCTGAGCGCTCTCTCACACTTACCAGCTAGGAAGACGCAAGGGCATCAATGGAAGATGTCTAGCTGTTTCAAGCGCGCTCATATTCGGTTGTTTCATTCATGGTTTTCATATAAAAGTGTTATACTGCATTTTTAAGGGCTCTCCTGATATCCGCGACGGCGAATCGACGTCACGAAGTACGGGCAAAAAATGCAAGCTTGATCTATCAAAAATGCCTGACATAATTGACAAGTTGTATGGAGGCAAATAGCTACAAATTGATTCGGTATTTCCTTTTTTTCTAAAGCTTGTTTTTATGAGCTCTAGATGATAGCATATAGTAGCAGGTGGATCATTTTGTCCCTGCTACTGTGATTCTTTCAAGTGCACATTAGTTGTTTACTTTCACTTCCAGCTATGAGTATGATAGGTTCGATGTTTGTACTTACGTGTTCTTTTCTTTTACTGTGGAAATTGTCTTTCATTATGAAAGTCATCTCTATAGATAATAATTTTACCGGTTTGTTGTGGGTTGTATAAAGGTATCTGTCGCGATTCATGCAGTCGACTTCGGCCACAAAGAAAGTGCAGAAGAATCGAGAATTCATTGTTTCCTTGGAGCATATTTTAAAAAGTGAGACTATGATTGTACTAATATGTTTTTTTATTAGGACCATTGATGAGGACAATATCCCTTCTTCATTCAAGAGTTTTTTCGAAGTAGTCTGCACTTATTGGCTGAAGTTGCGGTAAGACCGTAAATGAAGTCGTGACTGTGTATAATTTACCATGCTTATATAGTCTTTTATTTCATATCTGAGTACCCTTCGTCCTAATTAAATTTTTCTTACAAACTGCCTTGCATAACCTTAATGATTACATAGTTCTTCATAGGTAAGGAAAAATTCTAATGGTCTAGCTTCTCACACTCAGGACCTGTCTGTGTAGGGACTGTTCTACTCAAATTATTTCTCTCATCACCTATTTGCATTGTTATTTTCTGCTTGGATGTAATGAAGGTTTTCCTTTTGTTGTTTTCAGAGAAGCTTACCGTAGCTGATCGGCGTGCGTCTCTCTGATTTATTTGAATGGCTGAAATTTCGTGGGGCGTTCGTGTAGAAGAAGTCATACTTTGGTGGAGCCCTCCTACTTCGATTTCGTGTAGAGTTTGGAAGATAAGGATTATTCTTCTTATAGACAATTCCCTGTTGTTATGGCATCCTAGCTAGGGTAGTTTGACAGGATTTATGAACATTTCTTGTTAGGGTCAAGGGTTTGCTCGGTGTTCACCTAAGAGTGAAATGGGTTCCTTTCGTAATTTTCATATTCTGGTCTTATTTCATTAGCAATTTGAGTCAGCTTCTGAATTATAGGTATTTGATGTCTGGCATACCCTGAATCCTTATTCCTTGTATATCGAATTTTGTTTTTTTAGAAACAGTTGCCATGCTTGTTAGGCGGTTCTTCACTCACGGTAGGCAGGCAGCTAGCTGGTTCTGTACGCAATCCAATGGGTCTGTTGAGGAACGGTAAGGTTTTCAGATCTTTAAAGCTATCTGATTTTGCTTGGTAATTCATCCTAATTCATCTGGTTAAATCCACCAAATTTCTTACAATTGCGCAGTTACTCAACATTGCAACAGATATGCAGCACTGTTAAACGGCACCTTGTTGACAGACGAGACTGTGCCAGAGCATTGGACGAAACCATCCTCGGGTGTGACCACATCTCATGATTTCATGGTAGTCCATCCCAAGGTGAGACAAGTTTTCTCTGGGTAACACATCTTTTGAAACCATTCCTTGCTTTCGTGGTTGTCTTTTTGTGATCGTTAAAGTTCAATCAATTCGATAAAGTGTTCAGTAGCCTACTAAAGTAAGTTAAGTAACGTGTTGGACAAAAAAGACCTTGTGACAAGATTCCGACAAGATGTACGAATAATACCGAACTGTGCTCTTCAGATTCGATGGGGATCGTCGTCAGCATCGATTCTCAAAGATCCACAACGGCAACTGGAGGAAGCCGTTACTCTCGTGAACACTCTACCAGGCTTTCGAGTTGTTGAGTAAGTTCATCGTACTGCTCCCATCCATATAGTGGCAAGGGGTGGTTTCAATTTATGCCAAAAAATCGGTCGATTTTCATTTGGAAAATCCAAATTCGGATAGGATTACACTTCACACTTTGTAATAGATTGCGCTCAATTGTATTTGGTCCATGGGAAACTTTTGAGTTTTTTTTTCGATGCACGATGCAGATTCTGTTACATTTGGTTTCAAGCTCCCACCCATTAAGCTCATTATGACTGTTGTCCATCTATGACGACTACAACTATCCTCATCTATAATAGTCGCACAACGAGCTAGCATTGTCTTTTTCTCCCAGGAAAAAAGGGCTGTGAGTCAAAAGGTCAGCCACGGCATTTTGGGATCACCCAAAATGACAAACTGTTTAAGGTGCCTGAAAGGATGGAAGGCAGAATGGACGTGGTTAAGATAATAACGGAGGGTGGAGAACGGTGCCTGACTTAGTTTTTTGTGACCTAAGAGCGAGCGCTATCATACCCACTTTCCCGTCGTTTTTCTTTGATTACATGAGCAAGTTCGTGAAGCTAGTACTATGGATGGCTGCCGTGGCTGTTTGACCTTGATGACTCATGATACCCTAGCACCCCTTCGGTCCGAAAAGCAGAACAATAAAACTATCTTATGTGAGGGGTTGCCTTTTCCTTTTAAGAGTCAGAGAGCGCCTTTTTGTTGTTGTTCTAGAGGATCCAGTTCTCATCTTCTTTCATCAGGTCCTGCAGAAACTCCTGAGTTGGAGTGAAGATGGGCAACCTGGCCGCGCTTGTCTCGACAATTGCGATATATTTATTAGATTTTACTGACGGTAACTGTGAGATTATCGTAGAATGTGATGACGGCCCTGGCGTTTATAGAGGGTAGACAACAAATGTGAATTTTTATCTCTTGATATTTGCATCAACCTAATGCCAGTTTTTATTTGAGCCTTCAAACTGCGCTTGACTTGAACTTAGTAGTTGTCGCTTTCTGGGCTGATCGAGAGGTACTTCAGGAAAGCTACACGCTATTAAAGTCATTGTTGTTGATCAGTGACCAGTACCAAGCCGCAATGTATTAGAATTCGCATAGTTTCTCTGCAAGAGAAGCACTTTCGGTCCCGTTGTGGAAAGTGGCCACTTAAAAGTGTGTGACTAAGAGGCGCACAGATCTATTCACCCGTCACTGAAAGTTCAGTTTATCTTATTTTGAGTACTTTGATTAGGAAAATAAGGAAGCT